TGTATGATATTTAATATCATATGAATAGTATCAAGATCAACTATTTAAACTCAAAATTTATATTGACCTTCTGCAATTTCTGTAACTTATATTCATTTTCAAGTTGCGTTGCGCATGTATGTTTATTATATATATATTTTTTACATTATTGTTGGTTTTTTTTGTGTTTTAAATATATATTTTCTATATTGAAGTTCATTTTATATTGAATTGATAATTAAAAAATCAATAAATAAAATATCAACAAATTGAACTCAGTTTATATCATCATGGTTCTTCTCAAATATGTTACCATTTGACATTTGCTACCAAAGTTTAAATCTTTGTCAAGAAAAGCAAAAGATTTGCAGGATAACCCACTGGATATTATTGATAAGTCTATAAATTAATCAAAGAAAGAGAAACTTTGTTGAAAAATGTGAACTTTTAAGCAAGAGACTTGTAGAGCCAAAGGAAAAAATTGATTTTGATTGTTGAGAAGAGAAAATGAAATATTTTTATTATTATTATTTTAGAAATAAAAAAAATTAAGAATGTTGAGAAGAGAAGTCAAATAGAAAGCAACAACAACTCCAACAGTATAATCCGAAGACAACTTAATTGAAGTATTGAAGAAGCCATGAAGATAAAGGTCATGTGAAATAAATTCATTTGCTTCAATTAGAATTGACCATCACCTATATCAAAAAAAGCATTTGATGATAACATCCTAAAGAAAGACGATAATTGTAAAACCCACAAATCAACAACAAAATCAATCCAAAAATCAACAAAAAGAGATAGAAAAAATATAATTAAAACTATATATCAATATTTGCTTTCCTTTGTCATCACTAAAATTGAATTTGTTTTATGTGCGTGATAATAAAATGAATGGTTTGACAGCAGGTCTATAGTTATCCTAATTCATCATATAATATATCAAATTAAAGCCCTGTCTTTCTAGTTTCCAAAGATTCAAACCGCTCATCAATTAGATTTTTATTGAGCAAGTTATGACTAATTTACTATTGACTGTTCAGTGAAAATTGAGAAACATGAGAAACCAAAATGTGTGTGATAATAAAAGAAATGGTTTGACAGTGGGTCTACAGTTACCAAATTAAGCATATAATATAACAAATTAAAGCTCTGTTTGTCTAGTTTCTAAAGGTTCAAACCTCTCATCAATTGGATTTTTATTGAGCAAGTTATGGTCAATTTACTACTGACTGTTCAATGGAAACTAAAATGTGTGTGATGATAAAAAGAATGGTTTGGTAGTGGAGCTAAAGTTATCCAAATTAAATTTATAATATATCAAATTAAGCCCTATATGTCTAGTTTCTAAATATTCAAACCTCTCATCAATTGGATTTTTATTGAGAAAGTTGTGGTCAATTTACTACTGACTGTTCAATGGAAACCGAAATGTGTGTGATGATAAAATGAATTGTTTGATAGTGGGGCTACAATTATCCAAATTAAGCGTATAATATATCAAATTAAAGCTCTATTTGTCTAGTTTCTAAAGATTCAAACCTCTCATCAATTAGACTTTTATTGAGCAAGTTATGGTCAATTTACTAGTAATTGTTCAGTGAAAACCTAAATGTGTATGATGATAAAATGAATGGTTTACTAAAGCTACACGGTTTAGCATCAAACATCAGTTGATATTTGTTATTTAAATGAAATTAGTTATATTCAACAACAAACTCTTTTCATGATATATGTATGTAACATAAAAGATATCATCAAAAAGAGATAGAACAATTACAATTAAAACTACATATCAATATTTGTTTTCCTTTAAGGATAATAATAATGGTTTGACATATTATAAATGGTTTACTAAAGCTACATGGTTCGGCAACAAACATCAGATGATATTTATGATACAAATAAAATTTATTATATTCAGCAACAACCTATTTCCGATAGATGTATGTAACATAAAAAAATATCAACAAAAAGAGATAGAGCAAATACAATTAAAATTACATATCAATATTTGTTTTCCTTTGTCATCACTAAAATTCAATTGGTTTTATGTGTGTAATGATAAAATGAATGGTTCAGCCGCAGGTCTATAGTTATCCAAATTCTTTGTATAATATATCAAATTAAAGCTCTATCTTTCTAGTTTCCAAATATTCAAACCGCTCATCAATTGAATTTTTATTGAGTAAGTTATGACCAATTTACTACTGATTGATCAGTAAAAATCGAGAAACAGGGGAAAGCAAAATGTGTGTGATGATACAAGGAATGGTTCGAAAGTGGGGCTAAATTTATCCAAATTAAGTGTATAATATATCAAATTAAATCCATATTTGTCTAGTTTCTAAAGATTCAAACCTTTGATCAATTGGAGTTTTATTGGGCAAGTTATGGTCAACTTACTACTGACTGTTTAGTGAAAACAGAAATGTGTAATGATAAAAGGAATGGTTCGGTAGTGGGGTTACAATTATCCAAATTAAGCGTGTAATATACCAAATTAAAGGGCTATATGTATGGTTTCTAAATATTTAAACCTCTCATCAATTGGATTTCTATTGAGCAAGTTATGGTCAGTTTACTACTAACCAGTCAGTGAAAACTGAAATGTGTGTGATGATAAAAGGAATGGTTTGGAAGTACAGCTATAGTTATCTAAATTAAGCATATAATATATAAAATTAAACTACTGTCTGTCTAGTTTCTAAAGGTTCAAACCTCTCATCAATTGGATTTTTATTGAGCAAGTTATGGTCAATTTACGACTGAATGTTAAGTGGAAACCGAAATATATGTGATGATAAAATGAATTGTTTGACAGTAGGGCTACAATTATCCAAATTAAGCGTATAATATATCAAATTAAAGCCCTGTTTGTCTAGTTTCTAAAGATTCAAACCTCTCATCAATTAGATTTTTATTGAGCAAGTTATAGTCAATTTACTAGTAATTGTTCAGTCGAAACCTAAATGTGTATGATGATAAAATGAATGGTTTACTAAAGCTACGTGGTTTAGCATCAAACATTAGTTGATATTTGTTAAAAAATAATTATATTCAGCAACAAACTCTTTTCATGATATATTTATGTAACATAAAAGATATCATCAAAAAGAGATAGAACAATTACAATTAAAACTACATATCAATATTTGTTTTCGTTTAAGGATAATAATAATGGTTCGACATATTATAAATAGTTTACTAAAACTATATGGTTCGACAACAAACATCAGATGATATATGTGATACAAATAAAATTTGTTATATTCAGCAACAACCTGTTTCCGATATATGTATGTAACATAAAAAAATATCAACAAAAAGAGATAGAACAAATACAATTAAAACTACATATCAATATTTGTTTTCCTTTGTCATCACTAAAATTCAATTGGTTTTACGTGTGTGATGATAAAATAAATGGTTCGGCCGCAGGTTTAGAGTTATCCAAATTCTTCGTATAATATATCAAATTAAAGCTCTATCTTTCTAGTTTCCAAAGGTTCAAATATGCTTTTACTACCAATACAATGCCCTTATGTAATCCAATCTTTATGCCTATTTATTTAGACTTTGGAATACCAATGCAACAATTAATATTGTCCACATCATCACCAATAAAATTCACCACATGGCAATCACAAATCCAATGTGTCTTTATGGTTAGACCTTTAAAATGCCAATGCAATCATGGTTGTTAGTATCCTACGATACCCGATATGTATTATACGATACGATTCGATATAGGTCGCCAACAGTACGTATCAGATCTAAACCTTTCGATACATTGATATGTATTCTACGATATGATACGCATCCGTTCGTATCCTTAAAAATATCGATACGACTTTATTAATTTGGGCCAAAGGTCCAAACAAATTTTCGGGTCGAAACTGGGTCACCCAACCCGATTCACTAAAACCTGTCCAAATTTACCCATTTTGCATGGAGAAAGTGAAGAGGAATATGTATTGCCCATTTTACATGATAATAATAATATAAGTGGAGATATAGATATTGATATTGATCTTGGAATTTTGTGATTAATTTTGATTATGTAATACCGTAATTTAAAGTCAATAATACCACAAAATTCTTTAATTAATCTTGGGGATGATATTAATTTTTAGAAAATTTTGATTATTTTATTAATTTTTTTGAAAAAGGTGTATCTTACGAAACGATACGCGATACACGATTCAAAAAATTAGGTTTTCGATACACGATACGATACACGATTTGATAACTATGAATGCAATGCATCTATATAATTAGTATTATTATTAATTATTAATACAACAATGCAATATATCTATGTAATCCAATTTTTATATCTATTTATTTAGACTTTGGAATACCAATGCAACAATTTATATTGTCTATATCATTACCAATAAAATTCAACCACATAATAATCACAAATATAAGATGTCAATATAGTTAGACTTTTAGAATGCCAACGCAATGCACTTATAAAATTAGAATTATTCTTTTTTTTAATTAATTAATAATTATAGATGAAATAATAAATACCAATCCAATGTATCAAGATAGAGTAATTTGATTGGCTTGTCAATCCAATGTGTCAAAATGGAGTAATTCTAGAGCTTCCGAAATATGCCACATGACGAACAATCCACATGAGTATTCATGGCAAACAACCAACACGAGTATTCATGAATCTTAGAGCTAAAAATATCTCATTAAACCACACATTCAACGTGACAAGAGAAAACAATTCTAGAGCTCCAAAATAAAACAATTTTAGAGCCAAAAAAAAAAAAAAAAGTGTCATAACGTATCACTCAAATAAGTATGCTTTTACCTTTGAATTTGGAATACCAATTTAACAATTAATATATCTCTACAACATCACCAATAAAATTCAATCATATAGCAACCACAAATCCTATGTGTCAAAATATGACAATTCTATGAATTCTAAAATATGCCACATGATGAACACCTAGCATGAGTATTCAGTTTTATATATATATATATATATATATATATATATATTATTTATTCTTTCACCTAAAGGCACCGATAAATACATGAACTTTTCCTGAATGGTTTTCCATCTCAAGTTTACAAGAGGCTCCATCCTCCCCAAGAATAAAAAAAAATAGAGGAAAATATAGGATATACAAGATAACAAGAATCATTATCATAACAAGCTACAAGGTACGAGCCCATCTCGTTATGAACTATTGTGAATGACTACTCCGAATGAAAATTGCCTTATAAAGCTCACAAGCATCGTTCACTTAGGCTCCTCATCTTCTGGATCGATGGGCGCTTCATGACGAGGCCTGTTGTACTTCTCAAGCAGCTGCTTGATTGGGATGAAATCTCCAGCTGTATCCATCCCATAAAATAAAAAGGAAACATATGGATGATCGAACCTTCCCTGTACATGGATAAGTATTAAGTACAGCCCACGTTTAATCAAGAAAAAAACCTCTGGGAACATGTTTCATGATTTTCAACAATAATTCTACTTACCGTGTCTGGTTGTTCAGGGGCTAACAAATTATCCTCAGGAACTGCAGCACACGAAAATCATTCACAATTTCAACAGAGCATTCCCAAAGATGACTAGCAATGACTTCAAAAATAATCCAGGATATCACAAACCCAAGAAAATATACAATTACGCCAGCACAGGGTATATAGCAAATCCAAGAACATATACAATTATGTTCTCATGTCAGCTTACTATTCGGGTTCAACTCTGTGAGGCCTATAAGTTGAGTTGAATAATGATAAACATGCCTTCTGAGACAGAAAAAAGGTAGATTATATTGGTGAGAAGATGAACAAAACAGCTACAATTACCATATGCCACTAGTAGATTGGGGTCTGCATGCACGTCAACCAAGACCTAAGAAGAAACAGATAAACTTCATCAGATTTTTCTTTTTCATGGGACATATGCAACAGCAGCACACATCTAATTGAGGAAAAGGAAAAGAAAATGTCATGCTATTTCATGAGGCAATTGATCCAGTAATTAAAATATAATACCGTATCATATAATATCGTAAACTGAACTAAAATCATCTACATTCTCATGGGAAAAAAAAAGGGAGAAAAGATCAACCCAGTAATAAGGCTAGCTGCACCTGATAAAATGGCTGATTAGAACCTCGAGGCAATTTTTCAACTTGTGCAGTGTCCATCCATGAACTAGATTCACAACACACTGGATCCATTCCGCAAATTACAGCACGATAGCCTAGAGCCAGAGAACGAGTTTTCAGCAAAATAAACAAGCCGGGAAAAGGAAACAAGAGAGAAGGCAAATAAAAGACAAAATTCTCTCATCCAATTGAGTCCCAGGCATCTAGAAGATGCATCAAAGGCCCCTAACATTCCATTTTCTTTCTTTATTATTTATTTATTTATTTTGTGGTGGGTGAGGGGGTGGGGGGGAAGAGGGTGTTGAAGAGGGGGGAGAGGAAAGGCACTCCACCAGTGACCCAGATATATTTTCAAAAGACAGCACTAGAATAAGGTCAGCACAAGGTAGAGTTTATATTAACTAATTAATGAACCCATGCACAAACACCAACAACTTAAACAAGAGGTTCAAGCATGAATCATTGCACCATCAGAAAGGAAGCAGCCAACTCTAGTTTTCATTTATGGCATTCAATTCTTTTGGGCTTCAACTGTTCATCATTGTATGAGGCATTTGACATCCATCTCACAATAAATGATTACGATTAGGAAGGATTTATCCATTTAGTACGAGGTCACGTTTGTACTGAAGTAAAAGTTAAGAGCATAAATAAGTGAAGGAAAAGTTAAATTAATGCAGTGCAATGAATACTAATTATATACCAAAAATTTTATGCTTCACTTTCTGCCCTAAACGAAATGCATATTGTGCAGTTTCAAACACCAGAGCTTTTGCTGATGCAGCCAGAGACTCTGCCTCTAGTTTGGAAATTTGATCCCGGAGTTCAGCTGCTAAAGCATAACTCTCACTCTCAATTGCACTCTGCAAATCTGCACTGCACGGAAAGGACAGTCCAGTAAAATTTTCATGCTGAATCAATTAGTCACAACATTAAAAATGATCCCTAAAAAGGAAAAATGGCAACATGATCTATGACTCACCGCAAACGTAAGATACTTATAGCCTTATCTTGAGCTTCATTCTTTGAGGATAATCCCCTTTTTGCCTCCTTTTGCCTGGTTATTTCTGCCTCAACCTTTCAAGAAGAACAATTATTAAGCATAGTATAAACTCCATTTACTAGGAAGCTATTTCAAATGCACATGGACATGTGTTAAGGCAGGCAAGCATACACAAATTTAAGATGTTGACATTGAAACTCTATAAGGTTAAAGAACAACAGTCCTCAGCACTGGATGCATTTGCCCAAAGGATATATTAAAGTTGAAGTAAACACAGAAACACATACACATTGCTTTGAAGGAAAATAAAAGTCCTAGAAAGCTAGTAAGATACTTCTTACAAGTCCTTTAGTCGAGTAATCTGCAGAAATGATCTCCTAATAAGTGTGTTCTTACATAAACAGGATGAGAGATCTGACCTCAGTAAGCTTGTTTCTCAACTGTTGTGCAATATCATACTGCTCCATGTTTAAAGCGCACTGCAATTTCATGATACTCACCACCAAAGCTTGTAAGCAGAATCCATGAATTGGGAGAAATTTAAAACCACTTCACTATGTATGAACATGAAATCAAGAGAAACAGCGTGTCAAACCTGTACTCGAGTTGCCAAGTCTAACTGAAAAAAGAAAATCAGTATATCCTCATTAGCTGTCTCACTGCGCTCTGAGCTTGAATCGAACCCTTCGTCACCCCCTTTAAAGAGCCATCCAGCTTCAACCCTCAAATTTCTTTGTCTTAGTCTATTGGGTTTACCCCACATGTGTAAGTTTTGAACACACTGCTGCCAAAGACATTGCCTATCAATCCCTATATGGGTTGTCTTCACTAGTTTGAAATGTCTTCTCCATGAAGAAGTTGACGAATGAAACCCGCCATTTCCAGACGTTGTTAGTGTGCTTAATGAAAGCCCTTGTACCATTTTTGTACCAGGGAATAAAACTTCAATTACAGAACAGAGTAGAAACTAGGCGTGTAACAGTCTTTGCATCTGTATTAACACAAAATCATCTTCAATTCAAGGGAGTTATAGCCGAATATAACCAAAATTATTATTATTATTTAAATTGTTTTCATTCTCTTTAACAAAACAAGATTATAACCATCTTCTGATAAACTACTAAAACATCATACGGTTCTCTAACAATTAACACCCACCCCCCCCAAAAAAAAAAAAAAAAACAAAGACGATATGAAAGAGAAGAAAGTGACACTTACTACTAACTTAGTATAAACAAATAAAATTAAGCATATTGGAGAGAAATAACTTACAAAAATTAATTAAAAGATTGTCATTCCATTTATTAAATAACAGATAAAGTGGGTACAACATGTGAAGTGATTTAGATGTTAAATTAGGGTAGCAAAATAGACTCAAATATAAGTGAAACTAGGGAGAGGAGAGTGTGTATCAAAACCTAACCAGAAAGCTGTTGCTGCGAAACTAGATTCAAGAGAGAAGCCACTGTTTCGTCCTCAAAAATTACAAATTTGTTTTGTTGGCTGAAAATAGAAAGAGGGGGAATCCTATCTAGGATTATACCATGGATTATGTTATCACGCGGATTTGCTGACACATCCCCCTCCAGTTTATAATCTAATTTAAATTACCCGAAAAATAAAACCTTTTTACTTTAAGCACCAAAATGCCATCGCCCCTCTCACACAAATCTCTTTTCGCCTCTCGCTTGTCCGTACTTAACTTGCGTGTAACTCAAAGATTATAGAAAACCTTACGAACTTAATGTTATAACGAAAGTCACAAAATATGATAAATAACTTTAAAAAGTTAATAAAGAGAGTCGATCTTTTTACTTAATTTTTTTGAGGTGTAAAACAGAAAAAAAAAAAAAAAAAAACCTTTTGTTGTATGTCTGTCTAAATAAATAATTATATTTCAGTAAAATACAATTACACAGAATATCCTAAATGTATAGAAAACACCTTAAAAATAAATAAATAAATTGAAATTCCGTTCCAACTCTATTTGGGTTGATTATTTCTTTTTAATTTTAAAAATATAGCACTATGCAGCAATTTTTTTTATTCAATTAAGATATTTTATATTCATCTTACAATTAAATTTAAAATAAAAAGAAAAAAAGCGTTTGAAGGCGGCAACTGGAACATTTTTACCCAATTATTAATGTCTTCGAATAGAGGCAGTAAACAAACAAAAATGGAGAAATATAAACTATGTAGCTATTAACAAAAGCTCAAATTTAAAATTTTATTGAGAATCATCCAATCCAACATGATACAAAATGAACAAGCTTATTTTCACCATCAGAAACAAACAGATGATTGCTGAACAAATAAAATATTAAAAATCAGGCGCTATTTTTACATGATTAACAACCAACCCTGCCAAACACATGAAAAAAAAAAAAAGAATTGACAGATTACAGCTTTAATCACCATGCGGGACAGCTATTTGTTGCCTAAGGCCGCTGATATACATATTTTGTTCTAGGGTCCACAATAAGACCCTTCCCTCCATTCACTTCTAAATCATGCCTGCATCAATCACATAAATACAACATTATAATCCTATTTCCACTGTAAACAAGGAATAATGCAACGTTATGCAAGATGCAACATTTGGAGTAAATGCAAAACTATGCGGAAAGGAGTTGCCCAGAGGCCAATATGTTAGAACCAGTGACTCATGAACCTAGTAAAATTCGGAAGCACCCCTAAACATGGTCAGAATTAGTGGTAGCAGATGCAATGAAAACAATAGTACTATGAAACAGTGAATGGGATTTCCTCCTTAAAGATGAAAACTGCTGAGTAGCCAAATAACTTGCGAATGTATTTATTAAAATTTAGGACTTTTTATTTATCAAGGGCAAAAGAGTGCTCATTCTTGGGTAAATGGAAACAAAAGTGAACGTCCGAAAAGAAAAGAGCCAGAAGACTCACTGAAACACGAAATCAGGGATGGTCAACTGCTCACGAGGAACATATCTAAACAACTGCAGAAGCCGATCAACATATACCACTTTCTTCCACACCTAACGAATAGCCATTAGTTACCAAAACATTCAGAAGCAATAAACTTCAAAAGTTCATGTTTCAACTACAATTCAATGAGAAACAATTTCAGACATACCACACTATCCACAAACAATTGCATTGCAAAAATGGCAGCCTTCAAGTGTAAGGTAGGGTGAAGAACATAAATTGCCTACATAGAGCAGATATTGCAATCAGAACTAAGATCAGCTTTGTTTTCTAGAAAAAGGGAATTATTAGTTGCATACATGCAGGTTACGTTGATGCTTCCGACTGAGTATTTGCTGTAATCTTCTCATCCATCCAAAGTCTGGTTGGCTGTTTATTACAGAAACAGAAACAAGGTAATAGGACTGTAATTATTAAAGGAATGTCACCGCCACATACAGCTCCACAGTAGCCCATTTGAATCGTTGTTATGAAGAGCTTTATTTATTAACATACAAAATTTTGAAATCTCAAAATCTAAATGCCCAAGGCCACAGGGAGATATAATTCATAATGCTAGCAAGGAAACTCACAAAGAATGAGGTTCTTCAGGAAACTGGAAACCTAGTCAATTAAACACAAACTTTAATAGAAATATTTTATTCCCACTGTTTTACCAAAATCTGAATGCATGTTAAGTTTAACTTCCTGACAGTTTCCCAACTATGCTCGGTCTTAAAGATTGTCTGCTTAACACCTGATTTATTTCTGTTCTAAAGGAATGGACTCAGGGAGTTCTTAGAACAAACAAGGAGATGATGATGAAAAAGACATTATTAGGAAAGAATGAAAATCAAAAGCTTAAAATATTTGAGAAGTACAACACAACCATTTAATAATTAAAACAGACCATTAAATGACATGAAAATGGTTTTGCAGATTGTTTCAGTTCCCAATATTATCAATGATAACAAAAAAAAAAAAAAAAAAAAAAAACCATTTCTCCTTTGTACTAATATTTTGTCAAAAAGAACAAGCATCAAAATTCACTGAAAGTTATACTTTCCACGATTTATATGGCCTGATTTAATATATAATAGCAGAACAAGTAAGAAGCAAAATAATCATAGAAATCAGATTACCCTTAATATAATTAACACTTAAAGGAACTGTTAAATTGGAAAGGAATCTCAATCAACACGAACAATTCTCAGTAAATAACTAGGCGTTTCAACTGGCAAAGGCACAAAATATTGCAAGCCAAACTTGGTATGCATGTTTTGCAAGTTCACCAAAAAATACTTACAGCTGTAAAGATGCAGCAGAATGAAAGTACACAATAGTATAAGGCTTCTGAATCAAGGGCTCAAATTCCTGAAATAAAAATTCAAAATACTTAGATCCAACATCCAGTTTTCAACAAGGATTAAGAAGTCAGTAAGGAAAAGAAATCAGAATGAGAGCATTTTCTAACACCAAGAAATACTAAATGTTCATAGATGCTGACAAATGTCAAACTGAAGCACACTGTAAATAAATTACCTTCACTACGTGAAGTATGAAACGCTCAAGATCAAGACAACGGAGCAAAAAATGCGCTCCCACAACAACCATTACAGGGCGTCCCTCACTGTCTACCCCTCCACGGTAACTGAAACAGAAACAACAGAGTTAACTCAATATTATATGTGCCAGAAAACCATCAAGCCTAAATGCAAACCAAAATTCATATAAAGTTCACAAGGCCATCCAATTGAAATGGATCATTATTTGAAATTTTCACAACCACCATTGTATCTAGCTTAGTAAACTTTAAAATGGAGAACCAAATCAAGTGATTTTTTTAAATTATTAATATACATCTTTTCCGTTTCCTATCTCAAAATCATGCAATAAAAAAGCAGAAAATATGAAAATATGTAAACCAAAAGAAAATGTCTGAATGCTTACACAATCTTCATCTCTGAAATTTCAGAAAGATTAAGAGAATTCGCTTTAGAAAGGTATCTTGAATGAAGTGAGTATTCTTCAGAAGCAGACAATGGAGGTCCACCAAGGTCACCAAATCCAAGCATTTTAGCACAATTCCACCCACGTTGTGCTTGAGCAGTTTTTTCCCATTGTTCCTTGCGTCTCAGATCTGGATCTTTAATTAAGGACATAAAGGCAGGATCCAAATACGAATCTAAATATGACGAGTTCCTGAGAAAACAATATCCATCCACTGAATCATCTGGCTATTATTTTATCATTATCATTATTTTATTTTACTAAAAACAGTAAAAGATTGTATTGTATTAATATAGGAAAAAGAGAAATACAACAGTGGATCAGGTACTGAAGAAGCCAGTTCAACCAAAGAGAAGGGTGTGGGGAAGCAAAAATTATACAAAGAATTAAAAAAAAAAAGGGCAAAGATAAAAGAAAAGTAACTAAAGTGGAGCTATAAAGAGAAAAAAAGCAAAAACCATGATTAAAACATCCCAAATCCCATTACAATTAAAGATTAAAACATGAAAGAGCAAGTAGTCCAACAGCATCATGAAGGCAACAATCAGTTTATTAAAACAAGGAAAATAAAAACCATATGCAAGTGCAAATTTCTGAAAAATTTGATTTATGCAAACATATAGACTCCTGGAGTGAATATCTTATATAGCCATTGGATCAACACACTTTAAATGATTGAGATTAAATGCAACTTAGAAAACTGATGTACTTTGGAAATGACACAAAGTAAATACAGTATCAACAATGCAGATGCATTAATAGAAGGGTTCAAAAGTTGTTATAAATATGGAGCTGCTGGAGCTTCCTCTATGTGTATTTTGAACAGCCCACTGTCTCATTAAAAGAGCGCAATTGTACTAAAGGCAGAAAAAGCTGCAAGACATTTCACTTGACAGATATAAAACCAGCCTACATACTGCGTGGCTTCATGAACAAGAACACAAAAGCAAAATGAAGTTAGGACTAAGGAGTAAATTACTCATGACACCTATAAAAAATAGTACATTATATATTACTAAACTATGAAATATAATTGTAAGAGAAAAGACAGAAGTATATTAATATAGCATAGCAAAGCATGATACACACAAATCTCAAAAATCATCCAACTATTAAATATCTATCACTAAAAAATTAAAACTGACCTTCGTATCAAGCCAACATCACTGACTGGAAGTTCAACTGGTGCTTGGGGAGGCTTTGGAGGAGTCTTTTTGGGTAACGTCTTTATTCTAATTTTACGTTCATCTATAATTGTCTCACCATTCTCATCCCCAACATCAGCAGGAAGCTTTGAAATGGCCACCTCCTCCTCAAGCTTATCTCGAGGAAAATAAAGAGGAAGCAATCTACAATGTGAATGTAATACTACTATGAGAAATACCTTCAGCGTACAGAAATATTAAATATATCAAGTACAGAAATAACAGCAAGTGCCACAAGACATATAAGGCATTATGACAATTCATTTATAGAAGGGGCATATTTTGCATCTGTGAAGTAATTAAAAATAAAATTATAATATGACTATACCTTTTATATATTTCTGTATCAGATGTTGTAGTAGTGCAAAAAACAACAGCAGTAATTTTATCTTTCTGTTTCTCAAGAAACCGCCGTACAGTTCCTGAAGATACAGCAAACAAAAGATGAATTGGAGATAATGAATAGCAAAAAAAAAAAAAAAAAAAAAATTCACCAATCACTACTGGATGCACATGACCTACATGTTGTTTGACAGCAGTTATTTTGTCACTCATGAAAAGCAATGGCTCCATGTTTTTTTTATATAATGATAGCATTAGACATTACAAATCTATAAGTCCTAAAAGAAAACTGGAGCAATTAATACAACCAACGCAGTTGTAAAACTTCATCAAATGACATCATTTTTTAAAACAGTATTTTTCCTCTACTCTAGATAAGAAAAAAATAATAATAAAAATTCTGCTAATTAGTAATTATGGTCACAATTTCTACAATAGCAGCATTTGCAATGATTAATTTATATATAAATTTACTAATATAACAGAATACATGATTTAGTTTTGGCAATTCCCAAATATTCACCATGATTTTTAACATCAACAGAGCTGTACACAAAGGAAAATTTCTTACTTATAGCCACATGTGCAGCTGGTTCACGTGGATAGTTTTTAGCCTCTGTGTATATACAACCCATAGCAATGCTGCATTCATGCGTATAAAACAGGAGTTTCAAATTTACACAACTATAAAAGCAAAATAGATCAAAAGATTGCAAGAAAGAAAACAATGTAAAATTTGCTACCAAACAACCTCTTGAGCCCATTTTCAATAAGAAGTTCCAGGCAAGACCGATAGCAGTGACTAAGAGCATTCTCTGCAGCAGTATGATATTTAACAGCATACTTGGGACCAACAGTATGGATAACTCTCCTAAATATCATTAAAAGGAAAAGAATCAATCTTCCAGCACTACAGAAATTCATGAATCTGGAACTTTAAGCATAAATAGTGAAATATGGAACTTTGAAATGAAGTGCGTCAGATATCACTATAAAATCAAAGATGCTAAAGCCCAACATTCAGCGGTACAATATAACAGACTGCTATGGCATGAGATACCAAACATGCCCATGGTAGAGTTTAAGAAAAATTAACTAATTGCAAGCTAAAATCTAGGGACATATTAGTGAAATGTTCTAAAAATGAAGACTCCCCCATCTACTATAAGTTCATAAGCATCTCAATTGACTCATTTATAATAGACGAACACTTTATAACAATAACAATGTGATGCTATGTGTGAAGGGCAACAGATTACAAGAATGAGCTTCTAAACAGATGAATATGTAATCTCTTAGTCTAGTCTGCAGATATTAAAAAACAGACCAATATACCCACCTAGCGGGAAGATCATATGCATTAGTTACTTTAGCCATCCCTGTTCGGCATCCACCCTGTCAAGAAATAGAAAGTACATGTCAATTCCACTCCTCACTTTCTATCTTCTGATACTGTTCCATAACAATAAGATACAACAGAAAGCTTCAAATGACTCTTGCTTCCTTTCTAAATATACACTTGCAAACCACAAAAGACCTAATAGTCTAACATTTTAAAGTTACATGTAGTTATTGGGTAGCACGTAATCAAGGGCATCCGTGACTAAAGCCATATGACCATGTTCTAGACATTATACTGAAGTGAAAATTTTTGGATAGAATCCAGAGAAATAAATATTACAGTTAACATACCAGTGTAGCACATTCTTCTGCAAGACCGGGCCCAGCAGCTGCATGCAAACCAGGGCTGCTGTGTGCTTCATCCAAGTTCTGTCGACAATCCACAAAAGAATTGAATAAGATCAACTATTTAACTAGCTAATTTCACCTTATTAGTATCCCATTTACCAATAATTCATGCTTGTCCAGACACTAAAACAAGTGGCACGTAGCAATGGAACTTAAACCAACTTCCACAAATTTGAATTTCCCAGTTAAGTAAAATATATCAAGTTGTAAGGACTTGCACAACATCATCTACCATGAAGTTACTTGGAACAAAGACTGGCTAAAGATGTACCACGTGTGATGAATCAGCTAGAACTTCCTGGAAAATTTTCTGGAGAGTCAAGAAGCTTATATAACCTTTTCTTATGAAAGAAACTTCTGAGAGATGGTTTAGCAAACCCACAGTATAACTATTAAAATTACAAACTCAAGTCAAGTGTATGAATCCAATTCTGAACATTGCCAACAAAAAGATTGTATTGTATTAATATAGGAAAAAGAGAAATACAACAGTGGATCAGGTACTGAAGAAGCCAGTTCAACCCAAGAGAAGGGTGTGGGGAAGCAAAAATTATACAAAGAATTAAAAAAAAAAAGGGGCAAAGATAAAAGAAAAGTAACTAAAGTGGAGCTATAAAGAGAAAAAAAGCAAAAACCATGATTAAAACATCCCAAATCCCATTACAATTAAAGATTAAAACATGAAAGAGCAAGTAGTCCAACAGCATCATGAAGGCAACAATCAGTTTATTAAAACAAGGAAAATAAAAACCATATGCAAGTGCAAATTTCTGAAAAATTTGATTTATGCAAACATATAGACTCCTGGAGTGAATATCTTATATAGCCATTGGATCAACACACTTTAAATGATTGAGATTAAATGCAACTTAGAAAACTGATGTACTTTGGAAATGACACAAAGTAAATACAGTATCAACTATGCAGATGCATTAATAGAAGGGTTCAAAAGTTGTTATAAATATGGAGCTGCTGGAGCTTCCTCTATGTGTATTTTGAACAGCCCACTGTCTCATTAAAAGAGCGCAATTGTACTAAAGGCAGAAAAAGCTGCAAGACATTTCACTTGACAGATATAAAACCAGCCTACATACTGCGTGGCTTCATGAACAAGAACACAAAAGCAAAATGAAGTTAGGACTAAGGAGTAAATTACTCATGACACCTATAAAAAATAGTACATTATATATTACTAAACTATGAAATATAATTGTAAGAGAAAAGACAGAAGTATATTAATATAGCATAGCAAAGCATGATACACACAAATCTCAAAAATCATCCAACTATTAAATATCTATCACTAAAAAATTAAAACTGACCTTCGTATCAAGCCAACATCACTGACTGGAAGTTCAACTGGTGCTTGGGGAGGCTTTGGAGGAGTCTTTTTGGGTAACGTCTTTATTCTAATTTTACGTTCATCTATAATTGTCTCACCATTCTCATCCCCAACATCAGCAGGAAGCTTTGAAATGGCCACCTCCTCCTCAAGCTTATCTCGAGGAAAATAAAGAGGAAGCAATCTACAATGTGAATGTAATACTACTATGAGAAATACCTTCAGCGTACAGAAATATTAAATATATCAAGTACAGAAATAACAGCAAGTGCCACAAGACAAATAAGGCATTATGGCAATTCATTTATAGAAGGGGCATATTTTGCATCTGTGAAGTAATTAAAAATAAAATTATAATATGACTATACCTTTTATATATTTCTGTATCAGATGTTGTAGTAGTGCAAAATACAACAGCAGTAATTTTATCTTTCTGTTTCTCAAGAAACCGCCGTACAGTTCCTGAAGATACAGCAAACAAAAGATGAATTGGAGATAATGAATAGCAAAAAAAAAAAAAAAAAAAAAATTCACCAATCACTACTGGATGCACATGACCTACATGGTGTTTGACAGCAGTTATTTTGTCACTCATGAAAAGCAATGGCTCCATGTTTTTTTTATATAATGATAGCATTAGACATTACAAATCTATAAGTCCTAAAAGAAAACTGGAGCAATTAATACAACCAACGCAGTTGTAAAACTTCATCAAATGACATCATTTTTCAAAACAGTATTTTTCCTCTACTCTAGATAAGAAAAAAATAATAATAAAAATTCTGCTAATTAGTAATTATGGTCACAATTTCTACAATAGCAGCATTTGCAATGATTAATTTATATATAAATTTACTAATATAACAGAATACATGATTTAGTTTTGGCAATTCCCAAATATTCACCATGATTTTTAACATCAACATAATCAACAGAGCTGTACACAAAGGAAAATTTCTTACTTATAGCCACATGTGCAGCTGGTTCACGTGGATAGTTTTTAGCCTCTGTGTATATACAACCCATAGCAATGCTGCATTCATGCGTATAAAACAGGAGTTTCAAATTTACACAACTATAAAAGCAAAATAGATCAAAAGATTGCAAGAAAGAAAACAATGTAAAATTTGCTACCAAACAACCTCTTGAGCCCATTTTCAATAAGAAGTTCCAGGCAAGACCGATAGCAGTGACTAAGAGCATTCTCTGCAGCAGTATGATATTTAACAGCATACTTGGGACCAACAGTATGGATAACTCTCCTAAATATCATTAAAAGGAAAAGAATCAATCAGTTTCCAGCACTACAGAAATTCATGAATCTGGAACTTTAAGCATAAATAGTGAAATATGGAACTTTGAAATGAAGTGCGTCAGATATCACTATAAAATCAAAGATGCTAAAGCCCAACATTCAGCGGTACAATATAACAGACTGCTATGGCATGAGTTACAAAACATGCCCATGGTAGAGTTTAAGAAAAATTAACTAATTGCAAGCTAAAATCTAGGGACATATTAGTGAAATGTTCTAAAAATGAAGACTCCCCCATCTACTATAAGTTCATAAGCATCTCAATTGACTCATTTATAATAGACGAACACTTTATAACAATAACAATGTGATGCTATGTGTGAAGGGCAACAGATTACAAGAATGAGCTTCTAAACAGATGAATATGTAATCTCTTAGTCTAGTCTGCAGATATTAAAAAAATGACCAATATACCCACCTAGCGGGAAGATCATATGCATTAGTTACTTTAGCCATCCCTGTTCGGCATCCACCCTGTCAAGAAATAGAAAGTACATGTCAATTCCACTCCTCACTTTCTATCTTCTGATACTGTTCCATAACAATAAGATACAACAGAAAGCTTCAAATGACTCTTGCTTCCTTTCTAAATATACACTTGCAAACCACAAAAGACCTAATAGTCTAACATTTTAAAGTTACATGTAGTTATTGGGTAGCACGTAATCAAGGGCATCCGTGACTAAAGCCATATGACCATGTTCTAGACATTATACTGAAGTGAAAATTTTTGGATAGAATCCAGAGAAATAAATATTACAGTTAACATACCAGTGTAGCACATTCTTCTGCAAGACCGGGCCCAGCAGCTGCATGCAAACCAGGGCTGCTGTGTGCTTCATCCAAGTTCTGTCGACAATCCACAAAAGAATTGAATAAGATCAACTATTTAACTAGCTAATTTCACCTTATTAGTATCCCATTTACCAATAATTCATGCTTGTCCAGACACTAAAACAAGTGGCACGTAGCAATGGAACTTAAACCAACTTCCACAAATTTGAATTTCCCAGTTAAGTAAAATATATCAAGTTGTAAGGACTTGCACAACATCATCTACCATGAAGTTACTTGGAACAAAGACTGGCTAAAGATGTACCACGTGTGATGAATCAGCTAGAACTTCCTGGAAAATTTTCTGGAGAGTCAAGAAGCTTATATAACCTTTTCTTATGAAAGAAACTTCTGAGAGATGGTTTAGCAAACCCACAGTATAACTATTAAAATTACAAACTCAAGTCAAGTGTATGAATCCAATTCTGAACATTGCCAACATGAATCTACATCATTTCCATATGGATCATGATTCATAAAAAAAAAAAAAAATAAAAAAAAAATTTCATAAACAAGTGTCTACAGGAGCTCAACTAACACAAACAAAGAATAAATACTCAGATTCTGGCAATTATCATTAAACTTATGTTTCTGTACCAAGTAATTGTTCACCAACTCAACCCTCCCATCACACTTAAGTACAAATTCAGAAGTTACAGTCTTTCTGAAAACACAACAAGTGTCACAAGAAGATGAAAGTAAAAAGAGCAACATAGTCTAAAAGTCATCATCATAGATACAAATCAAACAAGAGTACATAAGTATTTACTGCTCACCTCATTTGTCGAATTTACAACAGCATCCACTTCAAGATTCCAAGGGTTTCCCCTCCACAAATATATTTTCAAGTTAATCTCATGATCCACAGGAAACCTAGAAACCATCCCATTGTTACTACTTTCTGCCCCGGACGAAGACGTTAAGGGATCAGGGAAATACGAATTAGAAAACGAAGGATCTTCATTCTCATACACCAAAGAAGACCTGTGCTCAGCATCACTCCACCGTGGAACTTGATCCAAAGTCACAACAGAATCCCCACTATCACTCGGTAACCCACCCCGTGGCGTGGCTGTGGCCACAGTCCTGTACATTTTTTACCCAGCCAATGAAAATGTCACTTTCCCTAACTTCTAAGTTCCTTCTCAGAGTTTCAACTTTCAACCATCCACATATATTTCAAAATGCGAAACAAATCTAATCGCACAAGTTACCCTGAAAACAACAAAGATAGAATCTATATCAAAATCGAAATCATCATGTACGAACATAGGATAACGATTTCTTTAAAAAACATAAAAATTAAACAAAATCAAAGGCTTCTCATTCCCAACTACAAATTAAGGAGAAAAAATAAGTCAATTCTAATCAATACAGCAAAAACTTGACTTAACTGCACTAATCAAACCCTAAAATGAAATTTGTCATTGGAATTGAAAATTTGAACATCAGAAAGAAATTAAAACCCTGAATATGAGAATTGAGAGAGCGTACCAGGGATTGAGAATCTGGATATCCGTAAAAGAGTTTTTTAATTTTTAATTTATTTTTAATTTACAACTATTATTGCTGGTCGATGAGCTTGCAGAGGCAAAAGCTCATAATGATTTCTCGAGCTAAAATGGGAATTTGTCTTTTGTGTCGTTTGACTCAGAATTTCAAAACCACCCCACTATTTTTCTATGAATTTCAATCCAAACCCCTTTTGCTTTACCAAATAAATTATTGTTCATCTGCTAATGATTGGTGTTCAATAAATCAGTTCTTTAATATATGCTATTTCAAAGTTAAAATAATAAACCTATTAAAGTATTATTTATTTATTCAAAAATAATTATTTAAAAGTCATAACATGTCTATTTCCATTAACAATTTAGTATTTATACTCAAAATCTTCACAAATTCTAAACCAGACTTGTTAATGAATCTATTTTCAAATAAATAAATTTAAGAAATTTTTGTTAAAACTTGGAGCAAAAAAGAGAAAGCTTTGCCTTGCACGACTTGCGCTTAACTGGAATTTGTAGTGCAAGTCATGTTGCCCACCAATTTATTGTTGGTACGTAATCAGTAATTTTAATCACACATTGTCGTCAATGAACAACGATGTTTTTAGAATAAATGATGTCGTTCAGTTATTTTGCAAGCGCAGGAGTTGTCGTCCAAAAAAATTCCAAGTCAACTACATCATCATTTTCAAGTGAAAGCACATAAACATGGCAACAAAAGCTGTGCTGTTCTCAGTTTTCCTTCTAAACGGGGATTACATCCTTTCTGAACTTAATAACTATTACTTGAAGTGAAAACCAAGTTGTGCTTTAGATCACTTATGTATTATACAAGAAAAAAGAAATACATCTTCTAATATAAAGTTCTCCTACACCATTGTCACCAACTAAGTAGAAGAACATTGATCTGAAAGTTGCCTCATCAAAAGATGCACCCAAAAAATAAAACTATACTCCAACCACATATACGGTCAAGTGATGAGCTTAATAAGTTGATGAAGAGCTGAACTCAACAGCTTACTTGCTATCAGAGACTAATGTCAATACATATCATCTCTTTCATAGTACATAAACGATTAGTAAAAAATGACCACCATTCAACCATATATCTAATTTAAAAACTATATGAAACGTGGTACTCTGGGGGGAGGTTTGTCTCTACTGCTAATCCAGTAAATCATTACGTAGAAAGGGTTCATTCATTTACTCCAGCCTTTTGCTTCAGCATTTCAATGAATTTATCTCTCTCCTCCACCGACATCCCCTCCGCTGAACAATCACCAACTCCCCACTCTGCCCCACGCAAGCAGTACTTGTTTTCAATTTGTAGTCGGTTCCTGAAATTTTCCATAATATAGTAACATTATCATTTAGTATTTCATATGATATTTATATGCATAATTACTATAAAAATGGGCTCATCTAATTTGATAATAGGATGCCACCAACATAATTAGCCTCGTACGGTGAGTGTTGTAACTTGCTGCATGCAAAACTGAGTTTGAAGTAGATTCATTTGAAAGTTGAACATAAAATAGAGCATAAGTTACATAGCCAATAATTTACTTCTCTTTATTCAACTTGGATTTCTCTAGCAGCTTCTTGAGCAGGGGTGATTCTTTAAATCTTGCATCATTTTCTGCGTACTTCTTCTGGTTTTCCTCTGCAAAAGGAGTCTCAACTCTCAACCCAGTTTATCATATCAAATAAGAACAGAATGTACAAGTAATTGGTAATCACACAAACAAGTTGGGAGATCTAACCGTTGAAGCGATTAAGAAAGTCAATTTGAGGCAACTCAGGACCAGGAACTGACTCAATTCCAGGTAATCCAGACAAAAATCCAGCTTCAGCTGAAAAAAACTCAGATGATCAGTTATATTTACAAATATCATAAATACATTAGTCTCCATAGACAATAAAGTCCCCAGAGGCTGAAGGAGCAATAATATAGAGATGATAACTTCGAACATCCATAACATGATGCAACAACTATCTTTTTTATTGGTATTGGCTTTGTGACAGAGGATGGTAGCATTATTACCTATAGAAGAATCACCCATTTCAGGTCTTGTAAAATTGATTCATTTGTAATTACCATGACGTGTATCTAGACAGTAGCTTCAAAATCAAAGTGAACCCCTAACCACACTTCTATAATTCTGGTAAGGATAGATTGTGCCACAGGTGCACACCATTTCACTTTTTTTGTAAAAATAACGAATAAAAAGTAGAAAATGAATATTAATTCAATTTATCTAAGTTTATTTGCTGTTTTTTCAGTAAATTATGAAATCACTGAAATGCTTTTCTATCCCTTCTCCAGAATGAGCGATATCTACTTTATACCTTCCATGCCAAACTGTAAAAGAGGATGATATCCCATTAAAAGTGTAAATACTCGTCTTACTTGTTACATAATCAACATTTCTACTTTTAAGTAATGCTACTGGTAAGCAAGGAAAACAAAATGTTAAATAATTTCAGAATTTTGTCTAAAGTAAAGTTGTTATCATAACAATGAAGTCCCAACTTGCATTAATTAATACAAAACTTGTAAAATCAGACATGCTTGTCATCAACACCAGAATATAAAGTCAAAACCTAACACTAATCGAATTGCTTACCAATATTTTATTCAACCTGGAATGAAATAAACCTAACACGAATCGAATTGCTTACCAATATTTTATTCAACCTGGAATGAAATAAACCTAACACGAATCGAATTGCTTGCCAATATTTTATTCAACCTGGAATGAAATAAACCTAACACTAACCCTTGTCAGTAGAGAGACCTATGGAATGGTTGGTTCCTCTTCCATCATTCGAGAAAAAAATATTTATATAAAAACAAGAATTCAATAAGATATATTACAGCTGAAAACACCAATAATAATAAAATATCCAACAGTTTACCTGGATTTGAAGAAAGAAGAATGGCAGCTGAAGCTGCCAGAGGAATAATGGAGTAGCGTAGCACGTGAAATGGTGAGGAAGACGGTGACGAACAAGAAGAAGTGGAACAACTTGGGAGTTTTTTATCGCACCCACATGGGATCTTGTTACGAAGATTATTGGGTTTAGCGCAGAGTGTCAAGTTGGGGAATGAGAGAGGCGATAGTGTGGAGAAAACCATGGCTGGACCCTCTCTCAGTCTCTCTTGGCGAGGGAGAGAAAGATAATAAGGAGCGAAAACTAACGGTTGATATTAACCAACCCAAATTCGATAGAATGCACTTGCGGCATCCTGTTATTGGGCTCCACTTACTTCAGATAATTTAGTAGTATTACGTGTTTAAAATAACAAATGACTTTCATCATCTAAATAAAACCCAATTTGCAGACATGTTAACATCTAATTATGATTATCCGGTCCGCAAGGATTTGCTTTACCAGAACAACAAAACCGTTTATTGCATATCAAACCAAAATTCTAGGTTGCGCGCCTTCAATTAAACTAGAAGAACAACAAATTAAACAGAAAGCTGGGTGCTGGGTGCTGGTCAAAATGTGAAAACATGCAGCCTTGAATTAACCATCAAACTGTGCTACTGTTCTTCTTCCAATCCTCTATGAACTCCTTCAAGATCCTCTCAGAACTCCCACCAACTGCAATATCTTTTTTTGCCCCTTCTCTAAAAATTTTGGCTTGCACTCTCAACGGGTCGTTTCCCATCAAATCCTTAATTCTCTCTACGATCTCCTCTCCTTTCACCAGGACCTGTGTACCCCAGCCCCAGCTCTTGACCCACATTCCCAACCCACTTCTTTCAATTACTTCTGCATTGATCTTCTGATCCCCAAACTGTGGCCATACTAACATTGGCACTCCATGCCAGAAAGCCTCCACCAATGAGTTCCACCCACCATGAGTAACAAACCCACCAACAGCTCTGTGACCCAATATCTCTTGTTGATTAACCCAATTCTTAATAACAAATCCATGCTTTTTTATTTTCTCGAAAAGCTCTTGACCAAGCAACTCATCCAAACTTTCTTCATCCTCCTTGTCGACTTTCTTACATTTCACCACCCAAAGAAATCTACACCCACTCCTTACTAACCCATCTCCAAGCTCCTTTATTTGTTCACTTGACAAGGCGGACCTACTGCCAAAACTAACATACACGACCGACCCCTCTGGTTGGTCATCAAGCCAGTTCACAGGCGCACTGCACTCTATTTTCTCAAACTCGCATGGCAAAAGTGGTCCAATGCTATAGAAGGGTGGAAGCCCATCTGCAGCTCTTTTGCCATTAATCCCATGTAGCATGTCGGCTTCTAGTGCTTCAAATGTGTTAATTAAAATCCCATTTGATTTTATGAAGCTCTGACTGTTTTGTATGAGCATAGTAGTAAAGAGATGATTTAAATTTAGAAGTACTGGAGGGATTGAAGAAACGGGTATTGGAGAAAGGCCTGGGATTTCAATAACTTCGTCCAACTGAACAGAATCAGAACTGGTTTTGGATGCAACAAAAGGTGGGAAAGACTCGAAGAGAGAATACATTCTGGCTGATGAGGTGAAGAAAATATAGTTTGGTAGACCCAAGTTTACAGTAACTGGAACAACAGAGGAAGTCAAACTAACATCTGTGACAAAAGCAGAGAGAGCAGGAGACAGAGAAGAGAGGAGAGGAGTGAGAAGGTGAGCTGAACGACGAATAGCTTCCCACTGGAGGAAAAAAGGGTCAACAGAATTGGCTGAAGAAGGATCAAAAGGAAGGAGATGAAACTGTTTTTCCGTGATCTGAGGAAAAGTAGAAAAGAGACTAGAGATAGCTCGAGATTCTGCAACTGAGACAGTAGGACAAGGGGAGATTAAAGTGACACGGCAATGATTTTGAACAAGTGTTGCAGCTAGTCGAAGAAAGGGCATTAGATGTCCCATACCAGAGCTTGGGAGGAGAGCAACATGTGGATAGGAGTCGAGTTCATCAGAAGTTGACATTTTTTCGGGTGAGAGAAATTAGGGAAGAAGGAGCTCTGTCTCCCTCTGATCTACATACGAATATATAATATGAAAATAAAAGTGGTACTAGCTAAATATAAAACTTACATGACAACTGGCAGAATTTTTTTTAAATCAATTGGACAATTTTATTAATCCCACTTCCTCTCTCTCGTCTCTATTACATTGCTTTCTCTACTTTGTTTTAGAGTAAATAACATTTTCATCCCTAAGGTTTGAAGAAAGTATCACTTTGATCTAGTAAAATCTTAAAAAGCCACTATAGTCCCTGTTAGATAGACCTGGCAAAATGGGTTAGGACCCGCAGGTCGACCCCATATCCAAATAAATTATATAAGATATAAGTCTGTATTATTAAACCCGTTTTTTAAAATTCGTACCCGACCTTACCCGTTTTATAAACGGATAAGACTGGATACATACGCGCGTACCCGTGGGTGTCCGTTTTTAATTTAAAGAAAAAAAGTTTTTCTCTTTCGTAGCATGTGAGCAGACGCCTACAAGCTACAATACCTTTTGTTTGCCTTCTCTGTCTCTCCAAACTTAACTTCTCTTCTATCCCATCAAACTTTTTGGCCTATCCCATCAAACTTTTTGCCAGGTAGAGTTGGCTAAATGTATTCACAAACTTCTTTTCTCTGGTTCATTCGTAGTCCGCCTCTTTCCTATCAAAATCATTCACAATCTCCGTTCACCTAGCCCTTCTCACTTCTGGTTCATCAAGATAGGTTGTAGAGCAGCACATTTCCATTTCTTCAAATTGTTTTCTCTTCGTATTTCTCAAGATTTCGAAGCTTTTAAGAATTTTTCTTTTTTGGATTTGTTTTGTGTGGTTGAGTTACGAGAAAGAATGAAAAATATTGTGTAATTTTGGAAACAAGTTTTCTTTTCTTTTTGTTTTTTCAAGGATTTGAAAATTTTGAGATTATTCTTTTTTGGGTATTTGCTTTTGGGTTTGGGTTTGGTTTGAAGAATGGTGATAAAGATGATGAGGTGGCAGCCATGGCCGCCTCTTGTGAGTTGTGACGAAGAAGTACGAGGTGAAAATGGTGGTATAGAGGATGGAGGGGTGGGATCTGGCGCATGAGATTGTAGAGAAGAAGGAAGAAAAAAGAACAAAGATTTGCTGTTGAGATTCGTTGGAAGGGTCCTAAAGCACTTTGAGAAGAAGGGTCAAGAGGAACTTCACCAGAAACGGGCACCCGCGGGTCCATCCCTACCCGTGTAGGGTAGGATACGGGCCTAAAGTATTGAACCTGTTTAAGACTCGTATCTGTTTAGACCCGCACTGTATCCGGTCCATCCACCCGTTTTGTCAAGTTTACTGTTAGATAGAGGTGGGCATTTGGGACTGGGTCTAAAAACCCAGCCCAAAAACCTGGTCTTTTAGGACCAAGCCTACAGAGGAGGGCCTGGTCCCTCTACTGGGCCTTCTTCCAAGGCTCGGGCCTGGGCCCAAATTCTTTTACACTTTTTCCTTTTAGTCCTTTGTATAATTATTGAAATCCCCTATAAATTTTGAAATAAACATAAATTTTAGGGGTTAAATTTTTTTTTACAAATTTAAAAAATTATAGGGTTTTTTTTTTTTCATTCCCCCCTGTCCCCCTTGAAATTATTAAAACCCCTATAAATTTTGAAATAAACATAAATTATAGGGGTTAAAATTTTTAAAATTTTTTTTTACAAATTTAAAAAATTATAGAGGTTTTTTTTTTCATTCCCCCCTGTCCCCCCTTGAAATTATTAAAATCCCTATAAATTTTGAAATAAACATAAATTATAGAGGTTAAAATTAAATTTTACAAATTTAAAAAAATTATAGGGAAATTATAGGGGCTTTTTTTTCATCCAAACACCCGCCCACCCCCCCCCACCCCCCCCCCCCCCCCCCCCCCCCCCCCCCCCAACACTATAAATAACTCTAAAATCTTTTATTTTTTTCACACCACTCAATCTCTCATTCTCTCTATCTCTTTACTCCAAATCTTCAATCAAATTCTCATTCAGTTTATATTTATATTTATAATTTATTCATATAATTTATTTATTTATATTATTCAATTTTTTCTATTTTTCAATATCATCTCTTATTCATATTATTATTTAATTTAATTTAATTATAATTATTTATTATTTTATCATAAATTCATAATGGATTCCCGAAATGATGCATTCGGAGGATCATCCCTAAATGAATTTCATGTTTCATCCGCTGAAGAAATGGAATTGTTCAATCCATTTTCACCTTTTCCTCCAGATGCAACAGCTGCAATTCCACAACCACATTCAATCGAGACGAGGTGTAGTCAAACACATGCGAGCTGCCAGTCAACGGGTACGGGCATAGCCCAACCCTCCCGACCATCAAAGAGGTTCGTGTCCGATGTATGACGACGCTTCACCAAATCACCAAATTAAATATTTAGAAACTCACTAATCTACCCTTGAAAAATACTAAAAACCTCCTACAAAATTTCATTTCGCCCCTAAAATATAAAAAAAGATCAGGGGGGAAAAGAAATTTTCCAGGCTCCTAGGACCGGTCTTGGGCCCATAGGACTAGTCCTAGGGACCGGTTCGGGTCCTAATATTGCTCATGGGCCTGGGACCGATCCCAGGCCCATAAGCGACTGGTCCCATTTGGGACCAGTCCTAAACGGGCCCAAGCCCGAGCCTGCTTGGGACTGGTCCTTGACCAGCTCTAGGTTTGGGTACCAGCCCAAATCCCATGGAACTGGAACTGCCTAGTTCCTGGGATTTGGAACCGAAACCTGTCAAATACCTGAAAAAATTACAATTACCTCTATTATTCACAAAAATGACAAATATATCTCTAAAAATTACAAATAGTTTACAAAGATATAGTTCAGTCTTGGTTCATACCCGAGTACTTGAGTCTCGATTCCAGTTCCTACAATGGTGGAACCAAAATGGAAACTACACAGTACCAGTTCCGATTTTTTAGAACCAAAACCGAACCTGTGAGGGCCGGTTCTGAATAGGAATAGGAATTGGAACCCTAGGTACCTACTGGTTTCGGTTTTACCTTATTTTTTGCCCACCCCTACTATTAGACTTCTGTAGTTAGAAAAATTTTAACACTATAAAAGTATTCTTGTCATCTTACACTTTTTAAGAATAATTAAATGAAATTAAAAAAAAAAAACTTTTAATTTAAAAAATTAAGGACCATTAATTATAAAATAAAGTTTTATATGAGATTTTTTTTTTTTTTTTTTTAGTTTTGGTTTTGAAGGTAGGGATTTATATTTTAAATATTTAATTTTGGTTGTGAAAAGGTTTTTTAATTTTTTTATAAATTTTATTCATTTTTTATTATATTATATTAATTTGCAAAGTCCAAAATTTTTATTCTATAGAGGTATAGACATTTCAATTTCAAAGCATTAATACAATAGTCTGACAAGGACTATAATGATTTTTTTTTATATTTTAGTAGGTCAAAATAATATTTTCTTCAAACCTCATAGATGAAAATGTCATCAACTCATTAGTTTTACGTCTTTAATTATTTTTTTTAATTCGCTGTTCATTAGTTCTACGTTGTTGCCCGGTAGTTCTCCCTCAATTTGCGAATTCCGACGGCCTTATCCAAAATTTAAGGCTCGTAAACTCCATTTATCTTCTTCAGTTATTTATTTATCTATTTAATTATTTGTTGAATATTACTGGTGTGTTTGGGCTTTTATAGTTTTGCAAGATTGATTTTATTTTATGTTTTTTTTTTTTATCAAGTGAGACTATAGGTATGTAGTCTTTATTTATTTATTTGTTTGTAAGTGTTTGTTTTGTCGTAATTTGGTTGTGAGTACCTTTCTATTGTGTTTTTGTTTTGATAATGTTGATAGCATGGCCTGAAATCAAGTGTTGAAGAAAGGGGAAGCTTTATTTAGTTTTATCTTATTGTTTTGAGTTATTAAACTGTTTTTATATTATATTGTGGAGATATATATGATTGTGAACTTATTAATTTCAAAATATTAATCTCTATATATCCCTTATAGTCAGGATCAAGCTTTTCCGTGATTAAAGTTGGAATGCTGCAGCGTTATCTTTAAGATTTGAGTTTAACATATAACATAGAAACAAAAGTCTCCATTTTTAACACAAACCACACTCAAAATTTTCAAACTTTCCAATACTCTGTACGGTACCTTCAATGTAGTCTAAAATTTAATCAACAAAGCTGATCTTTTTCTTGGCAGAGCATCGAAAAACAAGCCTTTTTTCAATGTTTAACACGAAAGGTGAACTGGGGTTACATGGATTTCTGTGAGAAGGAGAAGAAATGAGTGAAGTTTTGAAGAAGGGAGTTGAAAAAGGAGCAGTTGATAACAGCTTTTCAGCTTCACTACCCGTCTGCTAGCATTGCATTGTATCAGCCAACCGTTGGGTTTTCATTCCCGCTAAAGTGGATAATTCTATGGATAAACAAACATGTGCAATTCCTTATACACCCCTATGTAGTGTAGGATGATGAAAGCTGATGGGCTGGTTGCAATGAGCACGGTTGCAGGGTATATTTTCTCGTAGTTTAACGATCCACAATCCATATCATTGATGATGAGAAGATCTAATGGGTCATCATCAAACATTAGCCCTATCTTTTCTGGACTCTTTTGATTTATTTTACAGTTGTCGTTGACTTTTAACTGTTGTTCACCATCAAGAAACTTTCAGAATCCCTCACCCTACCTCCATTTATTCTCAATTCTTCTGCTTTTTTCTCAGCAGATCGTTTCTCCGTTCCAAGATGGCTACTCCTGCTCCGGCTTTGAAGTCAAGGTGAGAATCTCTTTTAGTCTTTATGCAAATATGTCTTGATAATATGCTCAATTAAAGTAAATCCAAACGATGAACTACTGAGCAAGCTTTAATTTAAACACTTCTTTTAAACATCTGCAATATCTATGATACAATACATGGTTAAAGCCTACAATTTCCATGATCAATTAAGCAGGTTCTTTAGAGGGCACCGAGCAGCATATGGTGGTGCTGTAAATATTGCCGTAGATAGGGACGAAAGGAGAGAACATGGATTAGGAACAAAATCCGGACCTCTTCTGTCTACAGCTGCTTACTGTGTTTCTTCCTGCAGCATGATTCTTCTAAAGAAAGTTGTTCTGTCAAGTTATAATTTCAAAGTTGGAATATCATTGATGTTTTATCAAGTATGTTACTTGTCTCAATCCGAATGTCGCATGTTGAGTGATCAGTTTTCTTCGCTGCAAGGTTACAAATTTATTCAACAATGAACTTTGTTTTGGTTTTGAACTGCACATAAATCATCAAATTTTTACTTAAAAAAAAAAAAAAAAAATTACCTTTGCGAATATGGTCTCTGCTTTCCATCATGTTAACTGTTGGGTTTGAGAACAAACAGGTGCATTTATGAAAAAAAAATTAAAATTAAAATGACGTTACTCATTTATCCCATCACATCAAGAAATTCCTCACTCTCTCTGGGTCACACACACATGCACACACATAAACACATATTGTATATGCATTAAATGCGACAAAGTAAGAGAAAGTTGTGTAATTCTTGGAAGCTAATATATTGTGCAGTAGTTAAAACATATCATATCCAATTTGATGGAAATCTATAGATAGGACCATACCATAATGTTGTGTATCATAATCATTCTATAACTTCACATCATTACAATATTATGTATTTCTAGCCATGACGTTCATTGTAGCTAAAAGTATAAATTTGCGTAACTAAATGGTTTAGCTACAAATAAAATATTTTGTAATTTATCGTAGTTAGAAGTGACGCAGCTAAAAGTTAGCTATGTAATTTTTTGCTTACGTAGTTAACAGTTTATATTTTTTGCTATGAATAAGATTAATATGTAACTAAAAACTTAAATATTTTTGCTACAACAATAATAAGCTTGTATCTTTGCGTTTATAGCCACGGAGAATAGTCTATATAGTTATGTTTGCATTTTAGTTACACAAATATAAATTTATAATTAAATCTTGAAAATTCCTACTACAAAAATAATATCTATAACAAATATATTAACCTTTTGGCTATGTAACCACTAAAATCATAACTAAATAAAAAGATCATTTGCCACATATATAGTAAATTCATAGCTAAATATTAATTTTTTTGCTACAGACATATAAAAGTCATAACTATATATGAAAAGATATTATTATGGACATAGTGTGTTATTAAAATTAATTACTTGCTATGTATATTTTTTATTTGTAGCTAAATTTTATAATTATTTGCAATGGAACAAATAATTTATATCACAAATTTATAATTTATTGCTTTGATTAAAATTAACTATAACAAATATTGCTATAATTAACAAATTTAATAATAATTACAAATTTATAGCAATATTTTTATATTAAATTAGATAATATGGTGTCATAAGAAAAATTCTAATATAAAAAATAAAACATTAATAAAATCATTTTCCACCAAATAATTGTTTGCTCATAAAATCCTTTATCCTAGTAATTTAAAATGTTATCAACTATTTTTTTTACAAAATATGAATGCTTCAATGTCATTACTACCACTTGAGCATCCCTCTACTCTTAAGTTCATTCCAATGCCGCCCTTTCTTGGAAGGTTCCAATAAGACGTTTTCAGGAATCTCAACAGGTGATGATGAGAGTCTACTGTAAAGTAGTAGTTCATGAATGACTTCCTCAAGTTCCATGGTGTACTTTTCATCTAGTGAAGACATATTCATCTTGAGCTCTTCTTCAATCCTGCTATTACTCAAGTGTGTGATTGTGTGTATGTGAGAGAGTAATAAGATAAATGTACTTCATATCAATACAAACTGGGATAAGTATTCAGTATTTGTCTGCCCAAACCAAGCATTTTGTGGTGTTGTTTTAATTTACATACAAAATGGTAATATTAATTAATAATTATTTAAATTAATAATAAAAATGAATATTCAAATTGACTGTTTAGCTGAGTGCAGAGAATAAAAGTGGAATGCAAATTGCATAATAATTATGTTTAATGACACATCATCTAAGACTAACAAGAAGCCATACTTCTTGCGAAGCTTCACAAGTTCAACCATTGGTGCAATGTCTCCATCCATATTAAACAAGCTGTAGAAAGAAGGGAATTAAGCACATCATCAGAAAATATGCCAGAAGTTAAAAAATTAGGATTTTCAGTAGTAAAAACAGTAAAAAATAAATAAATAACACAACAGATAAACATAGAAAGACCAACAATCTATCAAACATATGGTATATTACCAACACACCTAGCAAATATTTCCAAAAGACTAACTGTGAACCATAGAGTAGTAAGGTTTCATAGACAAGATACAAAATATCCAAGGTATAACACATTCATAAAAGGTGTCAGCCATGTATCCAAAGTTTACAATCTTATTAGAAGATTTAACTCAATATGAAATTATAGCATGAAAATTTGAAATAAAAATGAAGATGCAGGTCCAAACAGACTCTGCATCACACAAAGCAAGATTCACAATTACCGGGCTTGTTACTTCCACCTTCAAACTAAGAGAACCCTAAGTCAAGACAGGGAACTAAACGGAGTTATTTTAACTCAACTCATGCTTAAACCTTGTGGCTGCTTGAGGCTCACACCTTAATATTTTGGAGATCCAAATGTTCATCTTACACTTTTCAGCAAGATCACTAAATAAGCTAAAGTCCAATATACCATCCCTCCAAGTTTCCTTTAACTCTCCCTCAAAATGGTCCTGCAAATATCTAACACATATTTTTAAGCAATCTAGTAGTTGGATTAAATGGGTGACCCTTTGAAATTAATTATGTCTGTTCCAACAATAAATCTGATTGGTTATTAGCTGCCTAGTATATGGAGAAAAAGTAAAAGTAAAGGAAAAAAAAAGAATGATATCCTAGAACAAGCATCAGACTCTGAATATTTGTGACCAATAACTATATCTATTTCTTAAGTTATCTAACCAAAAGGAAGACAAAAGCTATAGTATTAAAGGAAGGAATTAAGAAAACATGACTACTTGTCAGTCACAACAACTTTTTTCTTCATTGTGCAACTTGGTCTGTCATAACACAAATCCATTACAGTGACAAGAACAATGGAAATAACAGATGGAACAAAAACTAATACATGGAATACTTAAAGAGAGAAGTGAAATGCTTACAACAGTGCCTTGAGATGGGACATGTCACAGTGTTTATATATAAAAGGTTCTGCACTTTTTTGTTCTCTCAATAAGACGAATACCATCAATTATAGACACATGGTTTAGTGCATTAGAAAATATGGCAATTTTTTCATTTTTCAAAGGTTTATCACCAACAGAGCCAGGAGTGAGGCAATGCTTCCAATTGCTACCATCATAGCCATAATGGCTGCAAATCCTGTAGGACAAAGAAGACAATCCTATAGCATAAATTGGGACAAGAATGCGTCTGTTTTTAGATTATTGTAGTAAACATCTTAGCAGCCAAAAGAAAACTAATATCAACGATTGAAATCATAATTAGAAAAATTAATCAGAATTAAACAATAAAAGAGAGAGATATAAGAAATATGAATGTTAGAATGAAAGGGGGGAGGGAGAGGAAAAGAAGAAGGCCTGAATTTCCCTTGAGGAGGTCGTTGATGGGAGAGTAGAGAACGGTGACGGAGGAGACCAAAGTGGTGAACACCCCCTGAGATTACCACATCAAGGTGACAGGATTCACCCGATCGATGAACACTTGAACCGAACTCGCCCATCCTTTTGGGCAGAGTGACGCGAGAACCAATCCAAGTAATCAACCCCTTTTTTACAAAAATCTGCCTCCTACACTATACGGCTTTTTGCCTTCTTTTTTCACTTGAATTTCCAAAGGGAGAATCGCAGTTTTCCAATGCTCCTCTACAACTACCTTTCGCCTAACATGATCACAAACAAAGACAGAGAATTGCGTAGATAGGAGGAGGAGACGAAGCAACCCATTTGTCTTGATTGGAACTATTGAAGAAAGAAAGAGAACGGTGGCCCCTTTCGCCTAGGGGACAATCGTCGGAGAACAATGTCGAGGACAGGGTGAGAACCTTCCCTTTCGTTGGTTACGCCTTTCCTCGATATGGAATAATGGTTTTCAGGAAGGGCAGCTATGGGAAAATTTTTAGGATTTGAATTATAGGGTTAGGAAAAAAATTCTTTATTTTTGGGAAGTGAGGTGGCACATAAGTGACGTGGTCATTACACATACTTTTTGGTCATTATTTATTTAGCATTATTTTTGGGAATTATAGGGTTAGGAAAAAAATTATGCATCTTAGAAAGAATATATACTTTTTGGTCATTCCACATATAATGCTAATATTAAAATCTAATTTACCAAACACATATGCAGTATATAGCTTTTGAAACTGACCACAATTTCAAAAATTAAATTTACCAAACACATTTCTATTATTTTTAAAGTTTGGTATAAACTAATTAAACTTATAGCTACAATAATCCCAAACCAGCCCTTAAAATGATACATTTTACTCATTAAAATATATGTATAATCATAAAATATATTTTAGTATATATTTAATAAATATTACAAAACATACTAAAATAATTTATCTTAATTAAAATTTATTAAATCAAATATTTAAAAAAAAAAAAAGGGTTGGCTGGCAACCAACTGTCACAATTCGACAATAAACTGTCGAAATCAAGCAATCACTGCCAAGACACGTTGATGTCACAGCTAGTTCTATAAGGACCAACATGAGCTGATGTGTCGAAATCTGGTGGTTTCATCGGATTCTGACAAGCCATTTGACCACAAAAGGCTACTGAATATTTTGCAGTCTTTTGTGGCCAAATAGCTTGTTGTGGTCACAATAAACTGTCGAACTCAAGCAATCGCTGCCAAGACACGTCGGTGTTATAACTAGTCCTATAAGGACCAACATGAGCTGATCTGTCGGAATCCGATGGTTTCACTGGATTCTGACAAGCCATTTGACCACAAAAGGCGATCGAATGTTTTGCAGCCTTTTGTGGCCAAATAGCTTGTTGTAATCCTTTTATAAATCGGCTTATTTCATAATCATCTTCAAACTTGATCATCTTCAAAAGTTGTTTACGAAATACTTTTATTGTTGTAGCTTAAAACTTAATTGATTATTTTTAAGCTACAACAATCTCTAACACACTCTTAC